CACTGTTATCATGTCTCCCCTGGTCCTTCTCTTCACTAGACTAGCCATGCTCAGTTCCTGTAATTGTTCTTCGTGTGTTTTAGTCTTCAGTCCTCTAATCATCCTCTTCTCTGCACTTTTTCTAGAGTCTCAACATTTTTTTTATAGTGTGGTGACCAAAACTGGATGCAGAATTCTAGGTGTGGTCTTACTAAGGCTTTATAGAGTGGTATTAGGTCTTCACTTGATCTTGATTGTATCCCTGTGTTAATACAACTGAGGATTGCATTGGCTTTTTTGGCTGCCGCTGCACACTGTTGGCTCATAATTAATCATAATTAGTGGTTGTCCACTAAGATTCCAATATTCGTCTTACAGTTACTGCTATTAAGCCTGGTTTCACTCAGTCTGTATGTGTATTTTTGGTTTTTCTTGCCTAAGCGTAAGACTTTACTTGTCTCTACACTGAATTTCAAGTCTGTCAAGATCAGTGTTCAAGTCTGTCAAGATCCATCTGGATCCTGAGTCTATTATCTAGAGTGTTAGCTATTTCTGCCAGCTTAGTATCATCTGCAAATTTGGTAATAAGTTCCCCTTCTACTCCTTCATCTAAGTCATTAATGAAGATATTGAAGAGTACTGGGCCTAAACAAACGTTGTGTACCCCACTGCTTACTTCCCTCCATGTAGATGTAGACCCATTAAGGATTACTTGTTGAGTACGGTTTGTCAGCCAGTTATGAATCCATCTGGTGGTGATGCTATCTCACTTCTTCCTAGTTTGCCAAGAAGTAAGTTGTGATCTACTTTGTTGAATGCTTTACTGAAATCTAAGTATATTATGTCCACAGTATTTCTCTAGTCTACTAATTTAGTCATGTTTTCAATCCTGTCCTCAATCAGCTAATAATATTTAAATATTATTTTATTCCAGCATGTGTAAGCAAAATTACACATGTTGTTTATGTCTCTACTTCAATTAGCCCTTTTCTATTAAATTCATTATATGAGATCAAGCCAATGAGCTCTTTCTTTTCATGCATTATTCAGGAAAGTGGTCTCAACACTTTTGCATTCAATTTCTTCACTGATCAAAATAAATTATTTGCTGACCTTTCAATATTCCAAAGCATATTCAAGGGAACAGACCAATAAAATGAGAGCTTTTTTCAGTACTCTATTTTTTTTTGTAAAAATTTTATTTGGGTTTTCACAAAACATAATACAAATAAAATATCTTTTTTTGAGAATAGCATGGTCCCGGGTTATCACTTCTCCATACAGACACAAAGTCAATTTCATATTCGTCTTTGTGTTCTATTCCATATCTTATTACTATTTTAACATTTTCTCAATAATTTTTCCCTTCCCTTAGTTTTCTCAACCTTGCTTTTAATTATCTCATTCCTTTCTAAATTCAATTATATATATATCTTTTTCTAAGTTTCAATATCTTTCTAATCATAATATTTATACTTTTTTCTGTCCTGTTTCAATTTCATATTTTCTTTTCTCATTAAACAAAATTTTCCCCTGTAGTTACTGATTGGAGTATGACACCTTTGTATCTTTTAATTTTTGTCCATTCAACTCTTATTTAAACTTCAATTTATGCCTTTACAATTATAATATTCAATATAACACATAACTTCCAGTCAAATTCTGCTTAGTACATTCTTAAAATACACACCAAGTTCTTAAAGAGAAAGTATATTTTTAACAATAATAAATAAAATACTTATTCTATTCCAATTCAGCTCTATCATTAATGTTAGTATAAATCTTTGACATCTTTAACATTCCCTTCAATAGGATATCATACTTCTAGGAACACTTATAATATTTCCATAATTTTTTCATATTTCTTTCATATTCCTCTTCACTTAAATGTTTATAACTCATTAATAATAATTAAAATGTTCCCCTTCTTTCCTAATTTCATTCTCTCATTCTCTTTATTTCATTTATTTATTAAACATTCCATTCCATTACAATGAGTATTTTATCTATCATTTTAATCAAACTTGTTTCATATTTTCTAAGTTCATTTCTAATTCTAATATAACAATACTATCTTATGTACCCTTGTAGAATCCCTCTTTCAATTAAATTTTCACCCATTATCTCTAGGTCTTCTAAATAGGCTTATACCTTTAATCCTTGTATGTTTTCCCTGTTTCTCTATATCCTGTTTCTGTCCTTTATAACTTCTTTTCCTTTCCCTCTTCCCCCTCTTCTTCTCCCTCCCCTTTTGACCTCTTGTCTCTCTAATTCTAATTCTCTCTTCTGTAATCTCTCTTCTGTTTCTTCCTAATATTGTAATTACTTTTCAAACTATTCTTTTTTTGGTTGTTTTTTCAGATCTTAAATTTTCCACTCTCTTTCCCCCCTTTCCTTTCTTTTCCCCACATAGAATTAGTCATTGAAGATGGCTTCTTCTTTTTCCTGCCCTTCTTGTTCTACAGGCATTTCTTGTTGTTTCTCATAGTTCAGGATCTCCATTTCTAAACATTGAAATGCGAAGCCAAAAAAAACCCTCCTCCTCCTTGTGCATCTTCTTTCTGTTTTTTAAGTTCCATTTTCAGTTCTTCCAAGAGTGATACCATTTTAAAAACTTTTAAACAACCACTCCTTTGATTTTAGTCTTTTAGATCCAATAACCAAAAATTCAAAAATCACCAAGTAATCCAAATAATCCAAAGCTGTTTCTTCTTGCTTCTTTTTTCCACATTCTCTTCCCGGGGTTCTATTATCTTGTTACAAAGTTTCAGTTAGAATGTATATTTTAGGAATCTTGTTAAAGTTTCACTGTTAATTCCTTTTACTTCCAGGTGGTCTCCTCCATTTTTCCAGATCCCACCCTTTTGTTTTTTCCTTTTCTCTCCTTTCCTTCTTTTAAAAGTTTTGAAAACCCAGAAGTCTTTATTATCCCTTTGACATTTTATTTTCAGCTTAAATGCCTGTTAATGTCAAAGTGGTTTTTGTCAGTTTCTTACTTAAATCTCTTAGTTGTCAATATGGGGAAGGAAAGAAAAAAAAAATCCTTTCCCTTCCCTCTCTCATTTCAGCTTAAATGCCTGTTAATGTCAAAGTGGATTTTTGTCAGTTTCTTACTTAAATCTCTTAGTTGCAAATATGAGGAAGGAAAGAAAAAAGAAAACAAATCCTTTCCCCTTCCTTCTCTCATTCACTGCTTCAAAATCTTCTTTGGGAGCAATGTTATTCTTTATAGTTCAAATTCCAGGGTACCTTATGTTGTTGTTTTTCAGTTCGACCCGGTCAGCCAAAACTTTCTCTTCTTATCTTCCTCCTGCACATTCTTTTCCGGTCGAGTTCTTCTTTGAGGTGGCCATTTCTGACCACTGCTGCAACCGCCTTCGGGAAAGGAAGTAATGGCCAGCTGGGGAGGAGAAATGCGGCTCTCCTCAACCCTGCTGGCAGTCTCCCCCCACTTCACCACCTCTACGGGGTGGCTTAGCCCCAAAACCAGCTGGCTTGGGGTGCTCCAGCAGCGAGCATGGATCGAAATGGCGCATAATCATGGATTTTGATCCGTCGCCGAAAAAGCTCAAACCGGAAGTCTCTTCAGTACTCTATTATTAATGCACAGATTAAATGCTAGGCTTCTAATTCTTTATCTCTTACTTTCTAATATATAAGACATTTTTCCAATAAAATATCAAAATTAAAACATTTTAAAATATATGAAAACTAGACAAAATATATGTTATTATTTTTATATTTTATATAAATAGCTAATGTAGAAAAATTATATGAGTAGTCAATAGGCAGACTAGTTAATCACAGCTAAGAATTGCATTTGGTTGCCACTGTAGCAACTCTTATTGATTGGAAAGATACATATGAGATCATAGCACAAACATAAAGCTATCCCAGTCCTGAATCCTCTGGCAATTGTTGAGGAAAAGGAATATTTTTTTAATGTATTCAAGTTCTAATGAATGTACCTTTATCTCATTGTTTCTGTTTTTGGCACAAAGAGAGAAGATTAGTATTCAAAGAATTCACCCCAAACTACATTTTTACAGGCTTTCTGGCTCAAAGAATTGGGATGTGTGTAAATTTTGATGCAAAGTAATGATTTTGATCATGTGTGAAGGATGACCACATGTACCTTACTCTGAGTTCTTGTCTTCTATGGATCAGATTTAGATTGTTTTCAAAGGTTCAAGTTCACTGTGTCTCTGGATAAATTTTTATTCTATGTATCTTGGATGTCTTCAAGCCTCTCGTTGAAAAATCATAGAAGTTTAAAAACAACTTTCTAAATCAGTAAAAATTGTGAATTTGAATGATCTGACTTTTTAATAAAACAAACTGTTATTAGTTTAATTAACCATCTCATGGCTTTGAACATTCTTCTTTGACTATGAACTTAAATGTTCAGTTACATATCATTGGTAATCCAAAGGGTTAAAATAAAATTTTCACATGTCTAGCAAGCTGAAAAGATACAAAGTACATATGGAACATTTACACTATATAAGCGTATAGATTAACAATGAGGGAATTATCAAAAGCTACAAAATTAGAAGTGTATTCTATAGAAAAACAGTTTTCTTCATTTCCCACAAATAACGTGTTTCATTACTTCTTCTTTTTTAAGCAGGAGTTCAACAAGCTAGTTTACCATTTTCTGTGATTTTTTTCCCCCGTAGAAGTGGGTATATCTCAATAGCAGGGATCCAGCTATTTCCCAACAGCAACTGGAAACAGATACAGTATACCAGAAATATTAAAATATTTTAAAAGCCAGTTTTGATTCTCGGACTGTTAATTATGAAGAAGAATGATTACTTTCACATTATAATGAGACTAAATGTAAAAGCTTTCTATCCCTGAAAAATACATTACCTGTTTAAAAAGTTAAGGTTTTGTAAATATACAACTGAAGCAAAAATTGGGAAAGCAGTAAATATCATGATAGCAAGTATCACAGATACAGAATAAAGTCAAAAAAATAAAGTCATTTAATTACTAAAATGGTCCAAGCTACATACCCTAGTTAGATCCATCCCAAGTCTCAATTGTGAGATAATATGAAGGATTATACTACGCTGATCATCCAAGTCTCCTAAATCATCCTCTTCATTATCTTCGGTGTCTGTCACCTCATCTTCAACCAGAATCACTTCACGAGCTGTATGCTAAAAAATAGAATATAGTTAGTATTCTGGACATAAATAGAACAATATGGCATATATTCAAATAAGCTTATTGTGGCATTCTTTAAAAACACTAAGATTCTTTCTAAATAGTCATGCAAAACAGAGCTCATGCTTTCTATATATATGGAATGGGACTACAATATGTTGACCAAAAATCTTAGAAAGTGTGATTCCAACATATTTTAAGGAAATATTTTAACTTCAGGAAAGGTTAATTAAAAATGCCCAAGAATATTAATAGTTTCTATGCTATAGGGCAGGTGTGTCATACTCAAGGCCCAGAGGCCGGATCTGGCCTGTGGGGTGCTTAGATCTGGCCCATGAGGCTGCCCTGGAAACATCAGACCAGCCCACGGTGACTCGGCCTGGCCCTCCTGAGCTCCATTTTTGGTGGCAGCATGCTGGAGCAGGTCGTCACAGCCAAAAATGGAGCTCAGGAGGGCTGCCTGTGCCCTTTCCAAGCTCTGTTTTTGTTGGCAGAGTACTGCAGGAGGCTGTCACAGTGCAAAACAGAGCTCGGAGGGCTGCCTGCGTGGAGAAGGGGGTAAATGCAGCCAGGCACCCCTTTGGGGAAGTGGGGCTGGGCTCAGCTGGGCTGTGGGATCCCAGTGCCCTGGAAGTTCATGGGCCAGGCTGGGCATTGGCCCTCCACTGCCTAGGGCTCTGGACAGTCTGTGCTGTCATCCAGGGGTCCTCCACGTGGCCTGAGAGGGACAGTAAGAGTCTAGAGAACAAGGGTTTGGCACTCTCCCTGGTCTTGCCTTCCTCCACTGGAAGACAGTGGATCCCCCCAGCCCTACCTGGACCAACAAAGTGCACCTGACATGATTTTAACATTGAGCTGGCCACACCCACACTGGCCCCCCAAAGTCAAACACAACCCGGATGTGGTCCTCAATGAAATCGAGTTTGACACCCCTGCTATAGGTTCATAAAAAGAATCAACAGAATGGATCTGAGCTTTACTAATAAAATCATCAAACCTCTAAAATAAATAATTGGATTCATATCAATAAGTATAAATATATTTTTCCTTCTAAACTATCTGAGATGAAATTAATATACTATATAAAGAACCAAATACCTAAAATAATAGAAAAAATGAATTTGTTATATTTCCTTGAAAAAATAAACTTAAAAATAAACAGAGAGGGCGGAGCTTGCGTCGCAGCGGTACAGCATGCAATCTTTAAGCTCTAAGATCACTGCTGATATCTTCATTGCAGAACGGTCCCAACGGACATAAATCATCCCGTAGAGACGGTGATAGAGGAGGGCACATCCTGTCGATCCCAGGGGCATTGCAAAGTCCCTGGTAGATCCTGGAGAAGCCCTTTTTCCCCACAGTGGAGAGGCAGCCATTAAAGCTGCTGAAGCTGGGACTGCTCCGGAACGGAAGAAAGCTGGAAAGACAGTGTGTCAGTTTGGTGAGATAATTTTCTACTTATTTTTTTCTGGAGAGAACACCATAAAAGACTAAAAATTAAATTTAAAAGTGAAGATAAAAGAGCTCAAGCGGCGAGATTAAGCACAAATTAAACCTGAAGTTTTTTTTTTCTTTTTATTGGAACTTTGGATTTTGTTAAAACTTTTTAACTTTTAAATTGGGCTGGTCTTCCCTTTTTAATTTTTATTTTTTTCCCTTCAAAACAACTCTTTGGAAAAGTTTTTATTCTATTGCTTCTTCTTTTTAATAATTTTAGATTCTTTATATTTTTTATTATTCCTGATTTTAATATTAGAGGGGAAGGAAAAGGGAAATAAGTAGTGCTGCCACCTGGAGGCTTGGATACATTGTTTTCTTTTCTTTCTTTCTTGTTGATACATTTGCTGTTACATTCAAGGACTCTGTGCTTTTCATTGAAAAGATAGTGGGAAGAGCATGTAGATTGTTTGCAGGTGCTCTTTTGTGGAACTACTGATAGCTGGAGTCTGGATTTGAAATTGAAGAAAGAAGATTGAAGTGACTTTGAAAAGAGAACTGGAAATTTTGTTTTTTGATTTAGTAAAGAGCCTCGAACATATAGTGGCAGTGCTTTGCTTGTTGACAGAATTGCATTTTCTCTTTCCTTTTTTTTCTATTCCCGCCCCCCATTGGATTTTTATATTTGGACTTATGCAAGAATAAGACTACTTTACACCCCCCTCCCTTTGTTTTACCTCTTTGGCAAGGGGAATATACAGATCTCTGTCTTTTTAAATCTTTTCTTAATTTTTTTATTTTTTCATCCTTTTTTCATTTTATATTTTTTTCCCTTTTTTCCTACATAATTGGAACCAATTGGATTAAGGTATTCAAGTGCCTGAAGATTTTTCACTTCCCTCTTTTATATTATTATTATTAATATTATTATTATTATTATTATTATTATTATTATTATTATTATTATTATTTACTGGAGTGGCAATTGGCTGCTCTTGCTTTTTCTTTTCAATTTTTCTATTGTACTTTAAGATGAACTGAAAAATACCAGCCTCAGCTTTTTCAATCCCGAATTCTTCTTCCCCACCATCTGGAGGACAACGATCAATACAGGGGATGTTACAACAAGAGAAGGAGAAAGAAGTGACACTGCAGATTATTATGCAAGGAATTCAAAAGATACAAGTAAAAACAAATAATATTGAAAAGTGAACAGAGAATATTGAGCAAAGAACAGAAAAGACGGATGAAAAAATAGAAAATATTCAACAGATGATGATGCAATACGAGGACAGAATTAAGAAAATTGAAGAACAAGATGTACAAAGAGATAAGAAGATTGGAGATATGGATACCTGATTGAGTGAAGTGGAAAGAGATAAGGGCAGATCTCTGCAATCATTGGGATGGGAAATTGATAGATCAGAATTCTATCTTAGATTTCAAAATATAGAAGAAGAAAAGGGTGAAAACCTTGCTGAAATGATGACAGAAATCCTGGCAGAAACATTAGAGGTAACTAAAGAGAAGATGATGGATGGAATGGACGAGGTTTTTCGTGTTTATACAAGATATGCAATGAGAAATAAACTGCCAAGGGAAGTTCATATCAGATTTACTAAGAAAATAATAAAATCACAAATACTGCAGGCGGTAAGAGAATAAACACTAAAGTACAAAGATAAAGAAATAGTGGTACTGAAACAGGTACTGAGAAGAGTGAGAGAGATAAGAAGAGAATATTTATTTTTGACCAGACTTACTTAAGAGAGGAATAAATTACAGATGGCTGATACCCGAAGGTCTCATGTTTACCTGGCAGGAACAAAGACACAGAATTGATACAGTTGAAAAAGCGGAGTTATTCTATCTAGAATATTTTAGAGGAAGGGAGGAAGATACAAGAAAAGAAGAGTCGTTAATTGAATTTCAAGAGGAATGTACAGCAGTAATTGAAAAAGAGAAAGGAGCCGTAGGTGGTGTACCCAGAGAACAACGAGAACCAAGATCTACTAGAGCAACAAATCCTTCTTACAAAGTCTAAAATGGATGAGAAAAAATTGATTACAATTAATATAAATGGGTTTAATTCAGCTATTAAAAGAAGAAAAGTATTTCATAAGTTAGAGAAATTAAAATTTGATATAATCTGCCTACAAGAAGTGTACATATTAAAAAACAACATGATTATATATTGAAACAACAAAAATTAGGGAAATTATTTACAGTGTTAACACATTGTAAAAAGAGAGGAGTGGTGTTATACATTAGAGATACAATCCCTGCAGAACAAACCTATACAGATGATGATGGAAGGATTTTGATGGTGGAGATAATGGACAATAATCTAAAGACACTTTTAATAGTAATTTATGCTCCAAATGATAATCAAGAAGATTTTTACAGGAAATTACATAAGAAAATTATTGAACTGGACTATGTTAATATCTGTCTGATGGGAGATTTTAATGGAATAATAAATAACAAAAAACAGCAAAGAAAACTAGAAAGACATTGCCAAAATCCTTCTTTCGAATGTAGATGAGATAAACTTAAAAGATGCATGGAGAGAGAGAAATGCGGGAAATAAACAATATATCTTTTATTCAAATAGACATGCATCATGGTCTAGAATAGATATGTCAACAGAATTGCTTTCTAATATACAAGACATTGAAATAGAAGCAAGTACTTGGGCAGATCACAATCCAATAATACTTGTATGGAAAGGACAAAAAAGGAGATCTAGATGGACTTTAAATAATACGATATTAAAGGAAAAAGACTTTAAACAGAAAATTGAGAATTTACTTTTTTCTTTAAAGAAAATACAAAAGAGGATACATCATTACAGAACCTCTGGGAAATGATGAAGGCTTATACAAGAGGTTTGATAATGGACTATACAAGGAAAAGAAATATAAAACAGAAAAAAATATTTAAAATATTGGAAGATGACTACAAGGAGTTAGAAAAAGAACTACAAAAATTTCCACAAAAAAGGACATTAAAATTAAAATGGACATAACTAAGCATAAAATGGGGCTAATGGAAAAAGAAGAAATAGCAAAAAAATAGAAATGCTAAGCAGAACTATTTTGAAGATGCAAATAAACCAGGCAGATGGCTAGAATATAAATTGAGAAAGGAAAGAGACTCGAGAAGAATAAATCAATTGATAAACGAACAAGGACATGTATGCTATGGAAATGCGGAAAAGAAAAAAAATATTCAAGATTACTATGGAAAACTGTACCATCAAGAGAATGTTCAGGAAGAAAGAATTCAACAATACTTACAGGAAGCAAATTTGCCCCAGATACCCAAAGATATTGAAACAATGTTAGAAAGTAATATAACAATGATGGAATTAACAGAAGCTTTAAAAAAGCAAAACATCGGGAAAGCACCAGGTCCGGACGGTATGCCAGTGGAATTTTCTAAGACATTCCAGGAAACATTGAATCTTCACTTATTAGAAATTATGAATGAAGTTATGACAAAGAAGAGAATACCTGAAACATGGTCAGAAGCATATATAACACTTGTACCGAAG